GCCTCGAAAACAAATCTATTGACATTCCATCATTGCTTATCACCAATCAAAATGAAAGGATCCGCCTCCTTGTGGGTGACAAATTATTTTCTACCCTGCAACCGCTCTCTCACAGACGGCATGTGGCAAGAATTTCACTGCTCTAACGCTGCTTCCATGGAAAGTGCTCAGACGAACTACATGGTATAGTTTCGCCAGATCTAACCTTCATGGCTAGGACCCACCATGCCACTCACATTGTACCAAACAACCCTCATTGTTTCCGTATTTCATCGGTAAGTTCCACCCGAGCAACTTCTTCCTGCAATCCGCTGCTCTGTGTAATGAACTCCCAAGAGGATGCTTCCCCGATCACAACAATCTTAACCGGTTCAAGTCTTGGATTAACCGTTATGTTCCTGATATATCCGCCTAAAACTGTGCATCTTACTCTGTAAGCATCTACCTTGAGTGGCTCTCGGCTCTTGTACAGGATGGGCATAACTGTAAAAAAAAAAAGATAATGATACTCAAGTCACCTCGCATGACACTGCTTTCAGACTTTAAAAGAATAAAGATGTCTAGCCGTGATTCTCCCCACTCTATTCCAGCTCTTGAGCAGATATGTAAAGTTCGTCAACTTCTAGAGAAGACGTCTAACTGTGCATGGTCTGTTAACTGACAAGTAAATCTGTGTTATTGAACTAGATGTTCGCCATAGCCGATCTTAATTCACCCAGAAATGACAAGTTCATTGTGACACCTACGATCAGTTAAGTTCAGAAGCCATGACAGCCATCGTCATCATCATCATCCTTCGACTTCCCGATGGTTGGTCTGAACTCTATTGATAATCGCTTTTCGCACTGTTCGGTTCTGCATTGCTGTCCCAAGATTCCCATTGTCCAACTCTGAGTCCCGAGATATGGTTTCTGGGGAAATCAATTTTCGTGAGAAGACACTTCCAGAAGGACGCCATAGGAGTAAAGATGAGACGATTTCCCTGTCCGCTCGGGGGCAGTGGCTGGCAAACCGTAATCGTTTTTGTTTAAGCTTAAGAGCGATTGGTCTTAGTTCTCCGTAAATTGTGTTAAGATTTGCATAGGACTTGAGGCTCATACTTGTTGTAGCATCAGGGAATTTATAATAATAATAATAATAATAATTAGTTTTAATTTCCAGCCGTGAAAATATCACAGTTTTACTATTTGAATTTTCTGATGAGTCTTAATTCTTAAGTCAATGATTGAACAGTCTCATGGCGAGTTCTCGGACAATAAAATATCCGTAGAAATTCCCCTATCGTGTCGTTAAATATTTGAGCTTAACAACTTTAACAAACATTGAAATAACAATCATAAATATGAATGCTGGACGTTATTAAAAGAAGTAAGGGGGTACAAATGGAACGATTTAAAATTGAGAAATTTTTCCATTTCACTGAAACAGACGTTACACATTTCTATATTCTTTTCTTTCTTTCTTTCTATGATTTTCTCACTAAAACCAAGTAGTGTCTTTTCCCCTCTTTCCACGTGATAAAAACGGAATAGTCTATTATTTATTGTTTATGAGGTATGACAGGAAATACTAACCCCTTCCTTTTTTTCTTCTTTCTTTCTTTCTTTCTTTCTTTCTTTCTTTCTTTCTTTCATTTTCTCACTGAAACCAAGTAGTCTTTTTTTCTCTTTCCACGTGATAAAAACGGAATAGTCTATTATTTATTGTTTAAGAGGTATGACAGGAGATATTAATTCCTTCCTTTTTTTCTTTTTCTTTCTTACTTCCTTTCTTTCTTTCTTCTTCTAACTGAAACCTAAAATTTTATTTTCCTTTCTTCCCACGTGATCAAAACGGAATCGTCTATTATTTAAGAAGGAATGGAAGGAGATATTAAACATTTCTTTCTTTTTTTTTCTTTCTTTTTGCAACTGAAATCAAGTAGTGTCATTTCCCCTCTTTCCTGGCGATCAAAAAGGAAGAGTTCATTATTTATTTGGGAATGGAAGGCGATGTTAAATACTTCTTTCTTTCCTTCTTTTCTTGATCTTCTCATTGAAACCAGAAAGTGATTTTCCCCTCCTTCCACGCGATCAAAATGGAATAGTCCATTATTTATGAAGTTTTGGCAGGACGTAACGGTTGTGCAAACTAACAAAGGAAAATATTTCTGTTATCTGTTTGGATTGGTATTGCTTTTATATCAATAGTCTTTTTCATGTTGAATTGTATATGGTCTATGTTAATTATGTTTTATGAATATGTCCTGAAGATGGTCTATTAGACCGAAACGTCCGACGTTGACATTAAACATTAAAACAGCATAATCGCATATTAGGATTTTTGTTTGTTTTTTCAGTATATTTTTCTTCATACTGTCGGATCTATATTCATATATTTGCTTACATATATATATATATATATATATATATATATATATATATATATATATATATATATATATATATATATTATGTAGTGTCCCATTAGAACATGCACATACCCACTGTACATATTGCTTCAGCGTTAATTTTTACTTGATTTTCCCCCCAATGAAACGTTGAAAAAAGATTTTTAACGTTGAAACAATATGTACAATTTTGTAGTGGGTGTGTGCATGTTCTAATGTAACACTGCATAATAAATAAATATTTATTGCTCTACTTTTCTATTGAGCCCTGTTTTAAATTAATGCTTTGAACACTGAAGTCTTACACTTCGTTCTTTTTATATATATATATATATATATATATATATATATATATATATATATATATATATAGATAGATAGATAGATATATATATATATATATATATATATATATATATATATATATATATATATATATATATATATATATGCTATATATATATATATATATATATATATATATATATATGTAGAGAGAGAGAGATACTAACTTAAAGGCTGCTCTATCAGGTGTCATTTAAGTTAGGTCCAGCGGAAGGCTCTTGTTTGTGACTTCATCACAGTAGGTAGAGAAGAGTAGATGCAATATGCAACAATAAACTACAGAAGAACTCAAAATTGATCGCTGCATTAATATTTAATCTTGTCTTTTAAAAGTTCAAAGATAATTCTTCTGTTGCCACTTTATTTAAAGACATTTTGATGTACGTAGGTCCTTACTTTCCATGCAAACAATTATTTTTATTACATGGATTTCATAATTAATTTCGATTATTCCAAATATCATTATCAAGTTATAAAAACTGATATCGAACAAAAGAAAAAGTCACAAAAATCGCGTAAAAATCGCCCAGAAGCAATGGCAGGAATGAAAAATTTGCAAACCAAAATTTCAGGATTGAGGGTCAGTATCCGGCATGGAATGTTCTTTTTTAATTTTCTTCCGGAGTCGGCCTCATTCCAAAATGGCTTGATATGTTGGGCTACGACCTCTAAGAGTAAAGTTAGAAAATGTGCCAAAGTGACACACAGACATCCATATTTATTAGATAGAGATATGCGTTAAATTCCTCAGAATAAATGTGTAGAGAAGACAAACTGAATAAAATAAACAATAGGAAAGTGGTACTTATATATATAAAAAAAGATTTATTTTTAATTCCAACGCGTTTCGTTTCTTGAATTTTATCAGCTACTAGCAGTAGAGCCCGGCATTGCCCGGGGATGTAATAGTAAGAGATAGATCAAGTATCGACCATCATAAAGACTGAAAAATAAAATTGACAAAGTTTATTGTTTAAGGTTGACGGACACGCATGTCTTAATTAGTTTTTTTTTTTTTTTTTTTTTTTGAATTGGTCAAACCCAAACAATAACATTGTTTTCAATCGTTATGAGTCTACCGATTGGATAGAATTTTATTATAAACAATTGTCTTGTAAATGGAATTTTAAAAGCATTCTGAATGTAAAAATAAAGAAAAAAGTGTGCAAGACAATAAGAAACACTACCTGCCCCCAAAAAGTGAAGTTTTGTTGAAATCGGTTGAAAAATAAAGGAAATCCGATCCCATATATAAACGAACACACACACACACACACAAACAATCAACCTGGGTTTTATAATAAGTATAACTCGATATGAGTTGTCCTCCTTTCATTCTCGTGATGCCTCTTAATCGTGTTTTCAAATTGATTTCGTGCAAAAACAATTGTGTTTTTCCAATTTTGGGCGCTGTCAGAACAACCGCAAGGTAATTTTACGTAGTCCTGTGAAGTTTGGTTGAAATCGGTTGAAAAATGTAGGAAATCCGATCCCATATATAAACGAACACACACACACACACACAAACAATCAACCTGGGTTTTATAATAAGTATAACTCGATATGAGTTGTCCTCCTTTCATTCTCGTGATGCCTCTTAATCGTGTTTTCAAATTGATTTCGTGCAAAAACAATTGTGTTTTTCCAATTTTGGGCGCTGTCAGAACCACCGCAAGGTAATTTTATGTAGTCCTGTGAAGTTTTGTTGAAATCGGTTGAAAAATGTAGGAAATCCGATCCAATATATAAACGTACAGACACACACACAATAAGTATGATTTATAAAGTTGAAAGTAATGTTGAGTAAGATAACGTCACGCGTTCAATATTTGAATGAGGGAACTCTCGCTAATATTCATAAAACACTCGGCGTCAAAAAAAAGTAAAAGAAAAACTGTGGAAGTCGTTAAGCGACGCAATTATTTGGCATGTTTCGTAGAAGCAAGCGATTTTTTAAAAATTTTATTGACATATTTCTTTATCATAAAGACGATTTCCGATAATTCTTTAAAAATCTTCATCGCCATGCATAAATATATGCTTAAATATATATATATATATATATATATATATATATAGAGAGAGAGAGAGAGAGAGAGAGAGAGAGACAGAAACAGACAGAGAGACAGACAGACTGACAGATCGGTGTATGCGTTTTGTATATGTGTTTTCATATTAGTGCGAGTATGTATATCAATGTGTATCTTTATATATACGTATCTCGGAGTTTAGAAAAACAGAACGAGATGTACACAGAAGGAAATACTGTGATAGATAGATAGATAGATAGATAGATAGATAGATAGATAGATAGATAGATAGATTGTTCTGAACAGATTGGAATCGATTGAAATAGATTTGAATAGACGAAAACAGACTGATAGATAGATAGATAGATAGATAGATAGATAGATGAGATTGAAATAGATTGATACGAACAGACTGCGATAGATGGATAGATAAGAAGAGACTGAGATAGATAGATAGATAGATAGATAGATAGATAGATAGATAGATAAAGGGATTACTATGTGCAGATAGATAGATAGATAGATAGATAGATAGATATGAAATGACTAAAAACGAACTAACAATGTTGATGAAATGCATGTTTTGTCAGACAACTTAACGTCCATCTTTTTATGGATATACAAACTCGATTTCTTTTGATGTTCATACTAATCAACTGTTTCATGTAAAACTGAAGACAGACAACGTCTGCCCTTCGCTGTTGATCTGCTGCTACTTTGTGCTCACTGCCCGATAGAAAACCTATTCACCATCCTTTTGGCGTTAAGTTGCCGCACTAAAACAGATGGGAAATCTCGGAAACGAACTAAAAGGCCCATTATCAATACGTGATCTAATTTTTTTTTCTTTTTTCTCTTTATGACTTGACGGCTTGCCTACGCCATAGTTGCTGGTCGGGTAGGATGCGTTTCCTGCTTGACTGTCGATGAGGTTCATTCGGAACTGACTGGCCACGTACGCAGGGAAAGGTTTGCTAAAGCAGATGAAGTCTCTGTTTACAGAAGCCTTTTTAGGACTGTTTTTCCTGTGGCTGAGAGTTGGGCTGTAAAATGGGCCAATTTTCTCATTCAGCGTTAATGCATGGTGCTTTGTATATATATATATATATATATATATATATATATATATATAATATTAAAAATTAATTGATTTAAAAAAAAAATCTTTAATTTTAAAAGATGACGTTGAAAATTTTTTACCGTTAAACCCTTTTTTTTTTTTTTTTTTTTTTTAAATTCAGACGACATCCATTCAACTTCACGCGAGGTTTCAGTGTAAAATACATCCTCAAATTTACCAAAAATGTAGCTAAAAACTTCCAATGATACTGTCATAAGGAAAAAATAGAACACCCCCGTGTCTAATTTTTCCTTAATATTCTTGTAACCATGGAAACGTGATTTTTAGCTGTGTATTTAAAACCCGGTAAATTTTAAAAGTTATTTTAAAATTCGCTTGAAGATGAAATAGAACTAATGTCGTTTAATTTATTTGCAAAAATAAAATTAGGGTTTTAGCTTCTATTTTTGAAACATGGTTGAAACTGTGTAGCGAAAATAACCATATTTTAAATCAATTAATTTATAATATTAATGCTCTGTAAATTTACATTGAGCACTATTTTGTAAAAATAAAATATCTATAAGAACACCGGATTTTATATCTTACTGTTCTTTTCTTTTTATTTATATACATATATATATATATATATATATATATATATATATACAAAATGCGTTGGCGGAACTCGTCCACCTTCAAAAATTAAACGCACACACACACACACACACTCAGACATATATATATATATATATATATATATATATATATATATATATATATATATATATATATACCCAAGTATATAATTGGTATATATGGAATGAATTCCAATAACAAACAATTACTATTTTTAAAGGAGTGCTCAATACAAAGTAGATCAGATACTTTAAAGATCTGAATAGCTATTATAACATGACATGGTGTACATGGAATGAATTCCAATAACCAACAATTACTATTCTTAAAAGAGTGCTCAATACAAAGTAGAGCAGATACTTTAAAGATCTGAATAGCTATTATAACATGACTTCGTTGTCAGGCTTTTTGAATTGTCCTATACTTGTATTTTGATTGGTCATTCTAGATTTTGTAACAAACGTTTTCCCCTTGCGAAGGATCGTTAATTGATTTGAAACTTTTAAAACCATTTATTTTACATTCAACATAATCACTTGATAAGACACCGGAGGTGTTGAAACAAAATGGCTATTTTTGTAGTGATTTTATAACATGTTTATGTTATAAATTTTTTGGATTTTGAACCATTTGCTCAGTGTCTTTGTAAGACATATAATATTGAGTCCGAAATAAAAGTGAAGATGATTAATTGGGGAATTTATTAACGAGGCGTTTCGCCCAGAGCGTCTGCTCTCTTTGGCTTCCTCAGGCTAGAATGAAAGAAGCCGACGTCTGGTATTGACCTCACTGTTCACTTCCATATTTACATACAAGTTATCTCTAATATTGAGAACTCTTACTCATAAATATCACATACATTAAAACTAAATTTATTCACACAAGAACAAACATATACATATATATATATATATATTGTGCATATTTTGGCAGTTTGTTTTTATTTTGTTACTTCTGTGATCACGAGAAATTCCAGCTTAGGGAAAAAGTACTATGGTTCATTATTTAATCATACACAAAAATACACAAACACACATATTTTCTTTCGTTTTTGGCTAAATGAAGCCTAGAAAGGCGAAACTCGTAAACGAATCTAGTTTCAATGAAAAGTTTCCCATTCATCAAAGTTCTTATATACTTTCTCATGATTCTATATCCTATTTTAAACATACATACATATATATATATATATAAACATGAGAACTCTTATGTAGCGTTGGTAACATATTTTAAAATAAATAATTATATTTATGCTCTACTTTTGTATCGAGCACTATTTTTTTGCATAATAACAAAAATACTAAAGAACTTATTATTAGTATTTACCTAACAAGTTCTTTCCTATTTTCTATATATATTTACACACACACACACACACACACACACACACACACACACATATATATATATATATATATATATATATATATATATATATATATAAAATAAACCCTAAAGAACCAAGCAAACCTACCTACGTTTCACCTGAAGGAATCTTCAGGGTCAGCTTATGATTAAGATCCGTTTACTTGAAACTTATGTAAGTTTTCCTGTTTCTTCAGGATTTATTTTATTTCTTCCCCCTCCATTAGCCTATTGAGCCCTCTACGTTTTAGCGTTACTATTCGCTTAGGGTTTTTTCTTTGGACTTAAGACTTAAGGCACTGGACGATTTGTTTCGCCCTGTTCGGATGTTTTTAGTTCTGCCTTTTTTTATTTCCAATTTTTTCCTTGGGTACCGATTTGTTTGACATATCTACAAGTTGTGTTATCCGTGCTTTTTTTTCCAACCGAGTAATACTATTAATATATATATATATATATATATATATATATATATATATATATATATATATATAAATAAGATGACGGAGACTTTACTTAAAATTCCCGTCTTCTTATTATCATTATAATGCTTTGTAGTCTACATTGAGTTCTCCCCTGAATTTATATCCTCCTTGTAATTGTACATTGCAGTCATAAACTGGTAAAACGTATAATATATATATATATATATATATATATATATATATATATATATATATATATATATATATATATGGGGGTTGTGTGTGCATTGCGTATATTTTAGCAACATGCTTTCATTAAGACATTTCTTATGGAATAATTTAGTTTTGCCTCCTAAATTTTTAATAGGATCCTCTCGTAATCACGGACAAGTGTTTTAGTATCCTTATTAAAGGAAGAAAGAAAATTACCATGTTAATTCAGATTAATTGTATTCCGAGTACTTTCGACATTACCCAAATGTCATCATGTCTGTGTTGTTGTTTTTTTCTGAGAAAAATTTCTTGTGCTATCGAAATGTTGATTTCCATTTGAATGATGTACCTAATATCTCTCAATATTTACAACATCATGCCTGTTACCAGTCGCAATGTAGGAAAATTCTTGCCGAAAATAATCTAGACTTTTTCATGAAAATAATGAACATAAACTAAAAAATTTTGAAGCTATGTATATTAAAAATTGAAGCCAACTCTTAATAAAATTAATTACGAATACTGCAAAAATGTTTACAACCAGAAAAAGAAAGCTGAAATTTCTGAGACACGTAATGAGAAAAGAGGGCCTGGAAAATCTAACACACACAGGATATATCGAAATCGAAGCAGACACATTAAGTAAACCATTTGCCGAGTTTTTATGAATGGATGGACGGTCAAAAACAAAGCGGGGTGGTTATGAGTCAAAGGTTACTTAAGATACAGGAAGCTGTGGAGAGACTTGATCAGTTACTTTCTTTCATTTTTACTCATTTCACGCCCCAAATAATGATAGTTTAAAATATCTAGGTTTTAATGGAATTAAATAGTATTTCTTTAAAAATATTTAGGCATTTCAAAACTTAGTTAATTTCTCTGATGTTTGTCGTCTGTTTACATTAAAAAATTTGAAAATTGTACAGTACATAACCTAACGTTTTTCTCATTACAAATATAAAAAAAATAATTTTCAGATGAAAACTACAATTTTGTCTTTGAAAAATGATGAACACAACATTTTTTGTCTTGTTTGTGGGAGGTATAATTATGGGATGTATAAAATTGTGGGATGTAGAATTAAAATTGTGGGATCTATATTATCCAATACAAAAATGAAGATGATGACAAAAACCGAATTTTTTTTTATCAAAGACGCGTGTCGACACCGGAGTAAATGTGTGTTCTCTTTGGCTTTTTCAGTTTGATAATGGAAGAAAGACAAAAAAACATTCTTAGAAAAAATGTTTTGAGATCTCTAATGACAAGTGAGCATCGTAGATCAATTTTTTTTGTTTTTCAAGCCTAAATCATGAGGTGATAAGATGAGGTAATAAATTTGATCTAAGGGGGTTACAGGTTGAGTCCTGCCACAAGTAGAAAGAAAATAGTTTTGTAAGGCTGCCTAATATTTAATCTCCGATACAGATGCGAAGGCTGGTCTTTTCCTCAGGTGAAAAAGAAACATGAACTGACGCCAGCTAAAAATACCAGAAATTACGAATAAAGTCTTAAGGAAAATAGGAGCTACATGGAAACTAATACCTGCAACCAGAAAAAGAAAGCTGAAATTTCAGAGACACGTAATGAGAAAAGAGGGCCTGGTAAATCTAACACACACAGGATGTATTGAAATCGAGGCAGAAACATTAAGTAACCCATTTAACGAGTTTTTTTTTATGAATGGAAGTAGGTTCAAAAACAAAGAGGGGTGGTTATGAGTCAAAGGTTACTTAAGATACAGGAAGTTGTGGAGAGTCTTGATCAGTTACTTTCTTTTATTTTTACTCATTTCACCCCCAAATAAGGAAAGAAGACGCTAAGATGCAAGGGCTTACTGAGTGTGGGATAATATGAGGAAAGAAAACATTATCAAGA